TATTCTTGAGAAGCTTTAGACTATTGTGATTGTCTTCTCTATTGTTCGTTGTGAACACAATGTCTTTCTTATCATTTGCGTTTGTTGATATACTTGCTGAATATTAATGATATGTATACATTATTTGCTACGAATACAGTAAAAAAAAATACTTGTATTTCGCTTCTAAAGTCAAAAATGAAAAATCGAACACCGTCAATCGATGCGGAATATTGCTTAGAATAATTATGTCAAGTTTCATTCCGATCGGACAAGTAATGGCGGAGCCTTAGGGCTTTTTCAAAGAGCGTCGCCCCCTAACAACAACAACAACAACAACAACAGCAACAGCAACGGCAACGGCAACGGCAACAGCAACAGCAACAACAACGACAACAACAACAAGATTAGCAGCGATTGGGGACCAGTTCCTGGTCCAAAAATATCAAATGTATTAATAAGACAATTGGTGGGACTAATGGACATTGTTCATGCATGGACAAATTGATTAAATTTATCTTAAATTTCGATGAAAATTGGTTGTTACTATAGTCCGACTATAGCACCTGGGGCCGGTTGTATAAAAACGTAGTTAGCGCTAACTGCAGTTAAAAAGTAGTTAAAAAATAGTTAACTTTAATCACGTAGTTAAGCCGGTTGTATAAAAGTGTAGTTAGCCTTAACTGCAGTTAAAAAGTAGTTAAAGTTAACTATGCTTTAGGGTATAGTTAACTGTCCAAAACGTAGTTAAAAATGGCGTTTGTAAGGAGTGAACAACATTTTTCAGTAAAACAACAATGAAAAGCAACGGTTAGCTGAGATTTTCAATCGCTATCTTCCCTGTGAATGTTTCCTGACAATATAAACTCTTTAAACGCTATCGCTTTGGTGTTTTTACGAAAACAGAACATATTTTTGCACAGGACGATTTCTGGAAGACGAAGTATGGTCCATTACACCAAGAAACACTGATATATAATTGCCAAACAGCTATACCTTGGTTTAACGTAGACATCTCAAGGAAAAACTGCATTCTTTTATGATTTTTGTGGCCGTTTTTCCTTGTTTTCTTGTATATTTTTCACTGTTTTCTAGTGTTTTGAATAAAATTCCCGCCTATTTGCAAAATACGAGTCCACAATCATGTTGAAAATGTCTGTCAGCGGTCGTTGCTCGCTGCTTACTTTATGTAGTTTTCTGTTTAAACGCCCCACGCAAGCCCCACGCACAGTTAACTACGTGATTAGTTAACTATCCGACTAACTACGTTTTGTGCAACGCAGTAGTTAAGTCATGTAGTTAACTAATTACAGTTAAGGATTTAACTACAGTGATTAACGCTAACTACAGTTAGCGCTAATTACGTTTTTATACAACCGGCCCCTGATGTTGAATAAAATTAACATATATTTTAAACAAACGGCAAAATATACAAAATCCAGCATTTGCACTTGTACTTTACATTACTTTACTTTTACTTTTAGAACCGTTTGGTTCTACGACTAAGCAAAACTAACAAAACAACACGGCCGCCCTATTTGCTATGCCAAAATGCGTCCACTGCGCATGCGCAAGGCGGGAAAATCCATACGGTAGCTACACCGGCCCCTAAATGGGCATACTAATAGTCTATTTACAAACTCCATGAAGGCTACCGTTCTTAACTATAACACAAATATAATGTAATGTCGAATTTCACTGTTTAGTTCAACATGCTCATAGTCCTGGCCAGGTTACTCTCCGTCCATTTCAAGCAAACACAACTTTGCCATAGGCCGGGTTAGTATCGTTGTATTGATCTTGTTCTCTCCCCTTCTTCGGTGTTTCGCTCGGGTTGATACCGTGGAACTTGTCTTTACTTTCACTGTGTGTACATAACCGTTTTTACTCGGCATAACTTCCGTCACGATTGCCAATGGTCATTGTCCTCTTGGGTAGTTTTCATCCGCTATGAGCACCAAATCTCCTATCTTTAAGTTTTTTCTTGGGATATTCAACTTCTTTCTTTCCAGTAAGCTCGATAAATACTCTATTATCCATCTACGCCACACTGTCTCCAACTTTTTCTGCAGCTCAAGTCATCTTTGTCGAATACGCCGCTGGGCGTAAATGTAGTAGATGATTTGGAGTTAATGGGTCTTCATCCATGAGACTGTCGCTGTTTCTTGTGAGAAGTCTTGAGTTCAAGATTTGGGTTGCTTCAGCCATTACGGTCTGCAGGACTTCATCAGAAACCAACTGTTCCTTTAGAATAGCTCTCAAAACTTGTCTTGTTGACCTTATCAAACGCTCCCATACGCCACCCATATGACTCGCGGACGTTGGGTTAAAGTACCATTTAAATTTTCTTTGTGCGCATAAATTGTGGATCTTGGTCTGACTCCATTCTTCAACGCTTCAGTTCCTTGTCAGTACTCAAAAATTCGTTCCATTGTCGCTCTTTATCTTTTCTGGGCAACCTCGTATACTGATAAATCTTCTGAGCGCGTTTATCATAGAATCGGTGTCCAATGAATGCGCGATCTCTATATGCACTGCTCGCGTTGTCATACACGTGAAAAGGCAGCCATATCGTTTGACAACCGATCGACCTTGTTTTACTTGTAATGAGCCGAAATAATCAACTCCGACACGCGTAAAGGGTGGTTGATGGGGCGTTAGACGGCTTTGCGGTAAATTCGCCATAAATTGTTCTCCCAAACGAGCCTTTCTCCGTTGACAACTAATGCAGCTTCGCACCACGCGTCGTACCGCCGTTCTTCTTATCACGATCCAAAATTCTTTCCTTAATGAAGAAAGGACGGACTCTTGACCCATGTGTCCTACTTCCGCATGGTAATGGGCAGGGCAAAATAATCGGATGCTAAACTGAAGGGCAAAATAATCGGATGCTTTGAATCACCATCGATTGGCGCGTTAACGAGTCTACCACTAACTCTTAACAATACGCCTGCTAATTGTGGATTCAACTGTCGAAGGGACATTCCTGTCTTCCGTAGGAATACTTTATCCGGTTTCTTAGCACGTTCAGCAACTGAGAGTATCTTCAATTCTTCTGGGAACGCAGTTAGTTGTACACGTCGAAAGATTTCATCTTGAGCCGCCTTCAATTCTTCTATCGTAAGACGCCCAACATTCGCTGTTGTCTCGACCTCAATATCGACCACGACTGAGCCCTTCTTTAGCTTCACCTTGGCTCCAAAACATTCTTTACAGCGTAATAACCATGCAACCGAGCATTTCAACTTCCACCAGCTGGAGCGATGTGAGATCAGCATCTCCAAGACGTTACATCGTACTGTGGTTGCGTAAATCTGAGCTTCCTTTCTCACTTCGGGGTCTTCGGGACTTCAAAACCGGGACTTGAACCATCTTAGGCCAGTGGGTTTCATCCTTCAAAAGAAACTCAGGACTATTTAGCCACCGATCATTAGATATCATGACGTCCAATTTAACTCCCTTGAAACCGTTGTCGGCGGGGTTGTCATCTCGGTTCACATACATCCACTGGGAGGGATCAGAGCCACTGCGAATTACTGTCAGGCGGTTGGATTCAAAGGTGTAGAATCTCTTGCTTTCGTTGTTAATGCACTTCAGGACAGACATTGAATCTGGCCAGTAGTAAATTCTTTCTATCTCCAGGTCCAAATCCAACGGAACAAATCCAAATCGAACGGGACAAATCCAAAAACGCCAAATCCAACGGGACAGCGATCTACACGTATTGCTTGTAACTTTGGAAAGTCAGCCAACCATCGTTCCCATTGCGCCTTCTCGTTTTCTTGAATTGAAGTGGATCGTCTACATAACATCTGTAGCAACAACTTAGCTTTCATTACACAGGGTCCAATAAACCCCAAAGGATCGAATAGTGAATAGTTAAGAGTGAATAAACTGCAGAGAAAACACAGTTCAAATGCACCGTCCCTGACGATATAAATATACTTGAAATACACCGTCTTGGTCGAGAAAATATACTCAAACTAACCCGTTCCTAACGAGAAGATACCGTATAATTCAAATTATCCGACTCTGACGATCAATATACACTTAAACTAGCCAGAAATACAATCCAATAAACTTGTACTTGCCACAAATGTACGCTCCAAAATCCAAATAATAGTGTCCAAATATCGATCCAAACTCGTAGAAATATGGTTCTAAACTGTTACTATAGTCCGACTATAGCACCTGATGTTGAATATAATTAACATATATTTGAAACAAACGTCAAAATATACAAAATCCAGCATTTGCACTTGTACTTTACATTACTTTACTTTTACTTTTAGAACCGTTTGGTTCTACGACTAAACAAAACTAAACAAAACAACATGGCCGCCCTATTTGCCATGCCAAAACGCGTCAACTGCGCATGCGCAAGGCAGGAAAATCCATACGGTAGCTACATTGGTTGAGACATTATTTTGTTTTGCTGGACAAAGTAAACTGAATTCGTAATGGCCATTTGCATTATAGACTAAATTTTGATCTCAACAAGTCTAGATAAAAATTTCATCATAGCTTAATTGAAAGAGCATCACAAAATTAGTAATATTCCAAAGTTTCGTTGAGAAATGTTGTAAAATGCGGATAATATAGCCTTGCGAAGTTTGCCGTTAGGTTTTTCAGGCATTTTGTATTACAAGCGGGAAATTGGGAGCCCAAAAGAGTATTGGGCTGTCAATTTCCCCCCCGTAATGCAAAATGACTGAAAAACGACAAACTTCGCAAGGCTATATTATCCGACACTAACGAAACTTTGGAATGTTACTAATTTTGTGATGCTCTTTCAAGCCGTGATGAAATTTTTGTCTAGACTTGTTTAGATCAAAATTTAGTCTATAATGCAAATGGTCCATTAGTCAATTGTATAATTTACGCACAATACATAACTTCACTTGCTTGCGGAGGTAGTCCTACAAATGTCCCTTAGTTAAATATTTGTGTAAAATGAAATATGCTAAGTATTGTGCCAAGGTAACCACATTTTTATTTCAATTTTTTGTTGTTTTTTTTAGGTTATGTTGGAGGATCTAGTCATTCTCAAAAGGGTGGTGGTTCTAATTACGTATGTTTGACACGTAATCCCATCTATGCAAAATATCAATCTGGTTTTCAAGACGAGCGTTCACGAATCTTTGGCGCTGAATATCAAACTTTCTCTTTTGGCATATATTCCAGCAGTCTGCACGACCACGATGTTCCTTGTGCAGTGTGTCATGTGACCAAACGTGCTTCACAAATGATGGTACCAGGTCGTAACGTGTGTCCCGCGGGATGGACACGCGAATACAAAGGATACTTGATGGCGGAGAAACACGATACCCATCGTTCAATGTATACATGCGTGGATGAAGCTCCTGATTACACGCGAGGAACACACGCTAATCGCGACGGCACTTTGTTCCTTTTTGTTGAAGGAAAATGTGGCTCACTTCCCTGCAAGCCTTATATCTCTGGGCGTGAGTTGACATGCGCAGTATGCACTCGTTAAATATGAACTTGACACTCCAACAGCTTCATGTCCTACTTTAAGAAAATTATCATATTCATAATAATAATGGTAATAACAATAATGTAATAATAATACGTAACAAACATTATGTAATAATTTATACGTAATAACCAGTGCACTTTGTGTCCTCTTATGCAATATAATATGTGG